GGTTCCTGCTGAAGCCGCGCCCGGAAGGGGGAGTTTCCTCCCGACCCGCCCTTCCTCGCTTCCCCTCCGGCTTGCGTGAGAGGGAGAGACCAAAGCCGAGCGACCCCGACCCCCCCACTGACGTCACCGGACCGGATTTTCTTTTCCCCTCCCAAGAGGAACCACCCCCAAGCAGGCGCGCGAGCGCGCGCGCGAGAGAGTCCCCTTATTGTCCCTGGGCGCATGCGCGGCCCTTCCCCTCCGTGGGCTACTCTGGCTATCAATGAACTGTGCAATATTTCTCAGCGGGGAGCTTCCAGCCGCTTAGTCTCTAGCCAGCACGTTGGCTCTCTGGGCATATGCAGAATGCTTCTCCGTCTTCTTACCACTCATTTTGCTGACCCGCCCTCCAACCCGGTACTTAACCAGGGCACCTTCCTTCTGTTCCTTAAATGCAAGCCCTGGTCGTCCTGATTTCGTTGGGGGTTGGCTCTCACGGATCTCCCCCCCCCCTCTTTTTGGGATGGCAAAAGGTCCATTGGCACGTATTGCTCCTTCCCCGGAGAGACTCACCCCCTGACCCAGAAAGAACGGCACCTCTTGATCCAGTCTCAAGGACCACAGCTCCTCGGCGCATGGTGCCCACGTCCCCTCCCGGCCTCTGCCCGAGACTTGGTGGCTCAGATTCAAGGGGACCAAAGATTTGGGCCTCGACCTGGATCCAAACACGTACCAATATCCTGGCTGGCATCTAAGACAGACATAGCCTGGCAAAATCCATCGTGCCAAGAACTCTTGGACTTTTAAAGTTCTTCGCATTATGGGCAAAGTGTTGGTGCAGATCCTGGCTTCTTAGCTCCAGCGGTTCCTGGAGGGGACAGATTATCCAGGTCCATTTCAGTCTGGCTTCAGGCCTGGTTATGGGACAGAGATGGCTTTGTTCACTTTGGTGGACAACCTATGCAGGGACTGGCCTGCGGTCTCCCACTGGGATCTGCTCTGTCTCCTCTCTTATTTAGCATCTACATGAAATGGCTGGGAAAGATTGTCCCAACGGTGAGCTTGGGTGCCTAGGTTTTGGCAGTGGTCAAAAGTGCATCTGCAGAATTGAAACGAATGTGCCAGCTGCACTTGCTCCCGGAGAGGTCCGATCTAGCCATGGTGACACATGCGACACATGTCTCAGTTACATCCTGGTTGGACTACTGTAAGGCACTCGATGTGGGGCTACCTTTAAAATTATGCCAGAAAATACATCAGTGGGTCCAAAATGCAGCAGCCAGATTGTTAACTTGGGCTGATCATAGGAGTCACCTAACCCTCCCCCCCCCCATAACAGCAGCCCCATGGGCTGCTGATCCATTTCCGGGCACAATTCAAAGCACGGTTTTGAACCTATAAAGCCCTAAATGGCTTGGGTCCCAACTATCTCAAGGACCATGCCTGCTTTTATGAGTCTGCCCAGGCGATAAGATCCTTAGGGGAGGCCTTTCTCTTCTTTCCACCATCTGATGTGGCTGCTTCCAGACTCTGGAACTCCCTCCCACTGGAATCCAGCCTGGCCACATCTTTGCTCTCCTTCCACAAGACCTCTCGCTCCTAGTAAGTTATCCTTGAGTGACTGGCTGCTTGAGTGGGGTTCTCAATGGATTGTTGTGCCTTAATGCTTTGTATGCATTTTGGTGTTGCTGATGTTTTTTAGTATGATACTCACCTTTGTTAGCATTAAATATGGTCTTTTAATGATGTAAGCCACCTTGGGTCCTTTTGTAAGGAGAGATTAAAAAATTTTAAATTAAATAAATAAAATCTTAGACATACTTCATGTAACTTCTGAGCAGACAGAGACTTTTGGCTTCAGAATTTGCAGGTTTCCATTATGATAAACATACTTTTTGGACTAAAATTACATACTTTTTTGGACTAAAATTGCAAAGAATGGCTTGCAACATGAAGAATCTGGACCACCAAGGCAGTAAAACACCAGAGTATTAGAGTTACAAAGAATGCAAATTAGAAGATTTCCTGTCCTGCTAACACATTATAACATAAACAGGTTCTACACATCAATAAACGTTCACTTCTTTTTGTTTACTTTCATTTTAGCCACATCCAACTGTCAGGAATTTTACTGTATAGTGGTCTTACGTCCAGATTATGGCTGGGACAGAGAGGTCCACACAAGCCACTCAGCCGCCCTGCCCAGCCTTTATTTATTGGATTTCCACCCCACCCATTAGACCAAAGGTCTACTCTGGGCAGTTACTCTGCACTTTTCTGAAGTGGGTAATTTCCAGGGGTCCAAATGTTGGGTTCGGTCATCCTGTCTTGTCCTCTCTCAAAACCCTACGTCAGCGCTCCAGCGAGTGACCAGCATTTGCAAAGTTGAACGTTTTGACTTGCACATCAACCTTGCTAAGTACAAATACCAAACAAATCCCCACAAAGTAAGTTTTGCAAATGTAATTTTGCTCTTTCTGGTTTTTCAGCTGAAACCAGCTTCTCTCCTCTTCTCAAATTGCTCTTCCAACCAGACTAGCAGGCCTATATTTTATCCGGCATCTGAAACCATCAATTCCTCATTTGATGGCCAGTTTATTCCCATCTTACTCCGCTGGAAAGCTAATTGTTTAGCAGTAACTTCCAACCAACTGCTGTCCATTTTAAAAGCCACGGTGTATTTTCAGGGGTGCTTTTTTCTACACCTGCCTGAATTATTCATACCATTTC